CCCCGGGGCTACCGCGGCTGGGGCGCACTGACTGACTGACAAACTGACTGATACCCGCACGCTGACTGACTGACACCCGCACACCGACACCCTCACGCACTGACACAGCCTCGCGGACTCTCACGCACTCTGACACACGCATAAACTCCCGAGCTGACTGGCACTCTTACGCACACGCACTCTTGTGCACGGTTGCAGGCTCACGCAGGCTGACACGCACACTTAGACACACTGACACACAAACACACTCTCCGAGACACTAACCACGGCTCGGCAGGTGCGTTCATGGGCAGTTACACACTCACAGATGCGGTTAGACACACACGCATCTCCTCCAGAGTGACCCTCGTTGCCTGCCCGCAGCCAGGGTCACAGGCACGGTGGTGGCGCTTACACCAGTGTCCCGTGCTGCCTGTGCCCCTGCTGCTGGGTGGGCACGCTCCTGGGCTCTGGTGTGTTCTCACACTTTTGTGCTCATGCTCTGTTAGGCACTTACACACTCGCTCACATACTCACAAGCCTGTACACTCGCATGCTTCTAGGGTTTATGTGCTGTTTTATATGCTCACATGCTTGTAGGCACTTACATGGTCATGGTCATACGCTCTAAGGCACTTACATACACACTCACACCAGTGCTGCTAGGCTCACACACTTGTGCTCACACTTGTAGGCACTTACGCTTGCTTGCATGCAGCTGTCCAAGAGTATCCCTCACTGCCTGTCCCACACACATGCACACCTGTGGGTGCACTCACATGCTTACAGGGATTTGCACTCCTACACGCACACATACACTCATAATCACTTACACACCTCAGTATTCCCCTCATTCCTGCCTGCATGGGCACCTAGCAGCACCCTCACAGGTGCTTCTTCACCCTGGGGTGTCTCTCACTGCCTGCTCCCATGCACGCTGTGGGCACACTCACACAGTGATACACACCCCACAGCGTCCCTTGTCTGCCCTTCACACACACTGCATACACCCTTATACTCGTGCTCCTGTGTCCCTCGCCGCTTGCCACTGTACACACACGCTTTCCTACACGCTTACGTATGTGTACGCACACCCAGCGTATTGTAGTGCTTTGCCACCCAACCCACACACCTGTGTGTATGTGCTCATGGTGTAGTGTCAGCACTGTCCACGACTTTTACACAGTGACATATGCAATTGCACTGCTGTATCGTAGTGTCCTTGCTGCCTGCCACATGCTTATATATGCCTACATATATGTACAGACATGCATATGCAGTTACACCAGTGTAACTTCCTCAGCCTCTCTCACGTGTGTGTGTACACACAACCCACTGGATGCTGCTCTTATACACACAGTCACGCACACCAAGTTTGCCATTGCATCGCGCACATACGCTGACACATCAGGGAGGCTTCCACTGCCTGCCATTCACACAGGCACACCATAGAATCCCTTTTCTCTTTACCCACACAAAGGGTTACCTGTCACTTCTCTGCCGTAAGGCCATCTTCTTTTTCAGTCACCTCTCACAAGCAGGCTGCTGCTCTTTGAAACACACACATACATATCCAAGCAACAGTCACCTGTTGCCTTTATGAGTCTGTCTTTCCTGTACACACACACCAGAGGATCACCCTCTGCCTGGCATTTCTGTACAGGGTAGTGCTGCCTCCTGCTTCTGGCACATGTAACGGGGTCATTTCTGCTTTTCACTCACACCTCCGCAGGGCATCTGCCACCTTTTGCACATGTGAGTGCAATATGGTCACCCACTATCAGATGCTGCACAAGTCTGCACCTTCTGTCACACACACAAGTGTCAGAGCCACCTGGTACCTGACAGACACAAACACACTCGAGGGTTCTCAGTCACCACAAGGCCATCTGTCTTACTCGCACAGGTATATATACTTACATATGTGGAGCTATATATGTGTCTCCCACACTCTGACCTCATGTTAGCTGTCACATGCAGTGCTCCCTATCAGTATATGTATTGCACAAACCCTTAATTTCAGTTAGTCCCCCCTCCACTTTCTATTACACAGAGAAGCATCCTTTCCCCTCATCCCTTCATCATGTATTTGGTCCAAATTGCAGTGTCATTTCATACTTTTCAGTCACTTACACCATACAGACGCCTGCCCTCCAGCGTGTTCACTCACACAGTACCACCGCCCTGCACTGCACACACACTCTGACATGCACAGTGCCACTCTCTCACCTATGACATAAACACGGTCAGTGCACCCACACGCAATACAAAGCGCCAACCTTCCGCGGGACGCGATTAGAGGTTCCTCCTCCAAGTGCTGCCCTGCGTATCTCCACGGTTAATGCGAGGTAGACACGGCTCTGCAAAACCCTACCCCAGCTGGATGGGGGCTGTGTTACCTGACACATGCCACCCGTTCGTCACAGCACCTCGGGCTGTGCCTCTGTACCTATAGCACTGGCCCAACCTCCGTTTGCATACAGAGAAGGAGCCTGCCGTCTCCTAATCCCCTGCTCCGTGTAGTGAACGCTCAGTTTGTTGCTGTATGTTTCTGAGTGGCTTTTGTCCTTCTGTGAAAGCTCCCTGTTCTCTGAAATTCATGCTGTCTCTTGGGTTCCACTTTGCAGACTGTTGAGCCTGGTTCATGCATGCCTGCTGGTTTTGAGTGGCATCGACCCTCTTAAATGAGTCTCCTTTTTGAAGTGTAAGGGTAAAATACTTCTCAATAATGTTTTAACTGCTTAGGGTGACATTGACACATATATTCTCCTTTTTGTAGATGCTTGGTCTAACTTCTTTTTTTTTTGCTTTTATAGCTGGAGCCATATATGGATGAAAACTTTGTTTCAAGAGCCTTTGCCACCATGGGAGAGCTTGTACTGAGTGTAAAAATCATTCGAAACAGGTTGACAGGGTAACTGTTTATGCTTGTTCTCAGTTTGCATTTGGATTGAACCGTTTGCCCTCTGCATGGCATCACTGTGATCCTGTCCATATTACAGTGAGTTTCCCTTTGAGCTTTTCTCCATTGCTGCCAACAATGTGGGTATTTTGGTGACAGCAATGGAGACGACAATTGCTGGCTCTTCGACCTCCCCATCAACAAACCAAGGTTTGTCCCTCATCCTGCTGTGCTTCAGCACTCATTCAGAGCATACGTATGGCATATGGTACAGCTGGGAATTACACCTTCGGGGCTGAAGGCTTCAGTGTCTCGTCTGTGTTAATCGTTGCACTAGTGCAGCTATGGGATGCTGGCAGAGGTGGGAAGTCTGACTTTAGAAGGAGCCATATGAGGACCCTTTGCGTTCATTTGGAATAAAATGAGTGACTGTACGCAGAATAAAGTAGTTTCATGGTCTTGTAAATGCTGTCATTTCAGTTTTCAATTGTTTAACCTTGGGTGGGAATTTTTATATAGTCACTGGAAGTAGAAAGTAAACTAATTGTGAGCAAAACTATTTTCTATGTGCTTATGTTGACATGACTTACTGGTAAGTAGGGGCTATCACTTTACTTGAGAACCAGGATTACTTTGCTAGCTTCTTTTTGGTAGCTAATGTTTATAACTTTGAAACAGAAATTGTTGTAAGTATTGCAACTATAGCAAATTCCCTACCAGTTATCTAAAAATATAATATTCCTCCTGAAATGTCTTTTAAATCTGAAGTCTTTCTCTCTCCTGTGTCTATGTTCAGAATTCCAGCAGGCTATTGCTTTGTAGAATTTGCAGATCTAGCTACTGCAGAGAAATGTTTACACAAAATCAATGGAAAACCGCTTCCTGGTGCTACGCCGGTAAGTAAATGAAATCAGCCAGTTGAGAAGCAAAACTGGGAAGGAATAGATAGTGTAGAATCTGTATCTTGAATGATTACACACAAATTCAATAGTTAGCGAGCTGGGATTCTTCTTTTCTTTAGGGATAAATTAATAAACATAAAATTATTAATGTTCTTGCTTAGAAAATTGTTGGGAAAAATTTCTGTGTTAATGTCTGGATAAAATCCAAGTATAGAAATGTTGTGGTGTGGTTTTTTATTTCTGAGCCTTTACTACTACCAAAGTTGGACTAATGAGAAACCAGAGAATAGCAAGGAAAAAATAGATTGAGTATACTTACCGCAGCCCTTTGGTTTCTCTTGTTTGTAGTTCCATATTAATTTGCTACAATGTGTGTGTTGTTATATACGTACAGATGAACTTGCAAGTTTGCATTGGGTTTTGAGTAACTTCTATTTGCAAGAGAAACATGACTTCTAAGCCTTGTGTTATTCTTGGCCCTTAGCAAACAAAAGTTATTCAAACCTATTTACAGTGGAGAAAGAGCTAGTCCATTGTATAATTGCAATACCTAACAAATGTCTCGGATACATAAAAGCTAGGTAGTTAGGAAGAAGAGGAGGAATAGTCATTGAGGCTAATTTTAGGATGTTGACTCAAATGTGTGGTAGATTAAAGTGGGACGGCTGACACAGCTGCCCGTTGTACCCACAGAAGTTGGCTGCAGTAGCTAGGATGACTGGTTCATAAAGCAGCTCTAGAATCACCTCAGTTAGAGTGTGGTATAGTAAGGTGAATTGATGCCTATTTCCGTGTAGTTAATAGCCTGAGTAGTAAACTGGGAAGTTCAGGTGGTGTTCCTGGAACTATTTGGTCAACCTTCCTGGGAGGATGGCATCCTCTGTTAAGAGGGGTAGGTTAGGTGAGAGGCCTGGAGGTCTCTGTTTCACCTGCCCTGTTTGATATACCTTTATACTGCAAATCAGAGCCCATGATGAAGGGAAGCTAATCTTCCTAGATGCCCTCTATACTGCAAAGACTACTATAATAAAGTTTGGTTTTGGGAAGACCTGTTTTTATCCACAGTTTAATTCAAAGTGCGGTGCTGTGTAGAGGGGTGATTTACGTAACACATGGAGAGAATTACGGATGTCAGACAGAGAGCCAATGTAGGCAGCTAAATCAGTGCACTCAGCAGGCAACTGTCCAGCTTGTCTCTTGCATTTAGATACTTTTTCTCTTGTTTGCAGAAAAGTGAATGTGGCTCACTCTTTTATTTATTTTTAAATACTGAATCAGCCAAAGGAATAACAGAGAGCCATAGTGCTGTTGCTGTCTCTGTTTTACAGAATTAGTGTCCCCAGTTCCCATATGAGTGGAAGTACTCTCAGCTCTCTCACTGATTCTAAACCCAAAATATTGCAATGAAGAGCGAAATCCAAAAAAAGCTGAAAGTGCTTCAACGTGGAATCTAAATTTGTGTTAGCTTGTAAATGATCCACAGAAAGAGTTGTGTACCACTGTGCACCAGTGAACACAAGCATGCAAGGAACATGATTATAGCCTAGAGTTAAGTCTTTGCTCTATTTCCCAAGAATTATTTACACTGTCTTTGAGGGAAGAAAGTGCATCATACAAGGTACAGGAGCACACTAGGCTCTCCACTGTACTAAACAAACATCCTGATCTCCAGGTTATGGACTCGGGTTAGGCTTGCTTGCTTTGGCCAAATTCCCCTTGCCTTCTTGCATTGCTGCTGCGTAGTGCAGAGGGATATCTGCTTTGGAAGCCTGTTGGGGGATAGAAAACTGATTTTGAAGCCTTTCAAGCTAACAAGGGAATCCAGCTTAGGTCTTCCACTGTCTGGGTGAGTTCTGACACTTTACAAGTATTCTTGTAAAGGAGTGCAATCCTTTGCTTCTTCCTGTCAGACATGTTTCAGAATGAAATAACAATTAACCACTGCACTCTGCAGTGAGCCTGCTTGGGTCACTGTGTGCTAAGCATCTTACAAGAATCCCCATGGGATTGAGACCCTTGGGACTTTCAGGCAGAAGACCAGCTGCTCCTTAGATCTTGGTCTAGACTTAAATGTGAGTTGGGCACAAGTTGCTGAGCTCTGGTAGGATGGGGGCAGAGAATTCCAGATGTGCCAGTGGGCACGCATCTAGACTCCTGGGAAACTTGTTTAAAAAGAAAATCAGGTGTAAAGTGTAGGGAGGCATCCAGTGTCCAATGACAGACAGAAAAACCTTAATTTTGGATCTTACTAAATGAGCACATCATCCAGAGCAAAGCATTTAACCATACTTCCAGACTCGGGGATTGATTCCATTTCCCAATGTGGCAGATTCTGGTCTGCCAGTATTCTTGTACATCACAAATGTCCAGTGGTCTGTGCTGTCATTTCATTTTAAGACCTTAAAATTAGAACTCATTTAATATTTGTTGTTAGTACCTCTGTTTTCCTGTCTTCCTTAAAGACAGAAAAATTTGATGCTATGTAAGGTTCACCTTCACTAGCTTTATAAACCATTGAAATAAAGATAGGCCAAACCTCTCGGTGCAGGTTCTTTGCTGATTTTCATTATTATAGCTGTACTGAATTAAAAATGTTGTCCTTGATAACTTAACTGTCTGGCCTGACAGCATTGAATGTCTGTCAGCATTAAGAAAGTTGTGTAAAATAAGCTTATTGTATTTTTTCCTAATTGTTTGGATGCATATGAGAATATTTGAATGTATGGATTCATTTTTGCCTTGTTTCAGGCAAAGCGATTTAAATTGAATTATGCAACGTATGGAAAACAGCCTGATAACAGGTAAGCACTCAATATTAAAATATTTTGCCTGCTTAATGTCTCTTTATCAATTGCCTTGCAAAGAGGATTCAAAATACGTAAACCCGCAAGTTCATCATTGCCAGATCAGATGTACAGCTAGCAAATTTGGATAGGAGAGCATTCGTGAGATGCATACAACTAAAATTTCTACTATTTTCTAGCAGTGCCAGACATAATCCCATAATTAAAAATGTAGATTACATTAAGCTGCCTTGGTACACCCTGTGGGTATTTGTGATGCTGCAGCATGTTGGCACTTTCTATGTATCTGAGGGTGCATCCCATCATATCGTAATGCCATGAATGTGTTTAGCACCTAAAGATAAATGCAGTGGTTTCACACCACCTGGCTTAACTGGGTAGAGTACAACAACAGTCAGCAAAGAGAGAGAAGGGTGCTCTGAATTGCCTTCTGGAGGAGCCCATCTTTCTCCATTGACAGTGAAAGGTGCGTAGGGAGACAAACGGGCTAAATTAGGCTCCTGAAGTTGGGTGGTGTGAATACCTTTCATAATGCCTGCCCAGAAACGCTTACACAGTTGAAGTAGTAATAACACAAGGCGGTGTTCAGGCAGGTGTGTACGAGGGTGAAAGCAACACAGTCCTGCAATTTATTAAGGTAGTGTTAGTCATATCTCAGCAATTGTATTCTTATTTTAGATTATTATTTATGAACCTTTTTATTTAAAAAAAACCACAAAAAACCTTCCTAGATTAGAATCAAGGCACAACAGATGGGACCAAGAATGAGATTCACATCTGGTAACTAATTCTTAGGGTTCCATTTGCTCTGGAAATAACAGATGGATAATGTAGCCTTTCTGCTTCCAGCAGTTTGCCCTGTTTTTAGCAGAGGGAGGCTAACTTAGTCTGCCTGTCAGTTTTATGCTTTACTTTTTGTGTGGCACAGCAGATTTGTCATGAGTGTCTTTTAAGATATTTAAACTTTCTAGCATCAAAGTATCTAATTCATGTATTACAATTTAAGATCAATATATTGGAAATAGCAAATCTATAAATGAGACATTAATGTTTTCTTGCCATGTTAGAAATCCAGAGATATCCTGTGAGAACTAAAAAATGAAATTAACTTTAAATAAAAAGCAGTATTGAGTAGATTAGTTGTGCTGGTTGAATTAACTTGGAAGACCAGTGTCAACAAAAATTTTAGTCACCTAAGGAACTTAAGCAGCAACACTTTAAAGTACCCATTAAATGGTCCTTTAATATCACTTTTCTATAAAGTCAAATGTTTAAGCTAAATATTAACTGTCACTCAGCACACCTCTTTTTTCATATGATTGTGCTTAAGAAGTTTTCTTTTGATTTCTTTAGTCCAGAATATTCACTTTTTGTGGGAGACCTGACTCCTGATGTGGATGATGGCATGTTATATGAATTTTTTGTTAAAGTTTATCCATCGTGTAGAGGTGGAAAAGTTGTTTTGGACCAGGCAGGAGTATCCAAGTAAGTCATCTTTTACTCATTCTTTTCTTTCACTTCACACACAACAGCAGGAAAGATATAATGCAGCAAGGGAAAAAGAATAGTTCTATCAATTTAGATTTTAGTTCTTTAAAAACAGAATGTTCTTGGGTATTCAGCCTACAGTATTGCTTGGGTTTGAATAGTCACCGCAGTGTATTGTCACTCCTCTGTCAGTATGATGCTCTTTGTGTGTTGGCAGTATGTTATCGCACTTCTGAAAATGCTGAAAAATGTCTAAGTAGAAAGACTGTCTTTCTGGACTCTCAGGTGGCATTGTGCTTTTACAGTCTTTAGGCTATTGAGAGTATATTCCTGTGAAAGCTTTACAGGTTTTTGTTTCAAATAGGGTAGGGCAAACAAGGCTGCGATTCATTGTCAAATATTTAGTAGCCGCCTTGTTCATCTTTACTGGAAATTTTTTGGAAATGCCAAAAAACAGATGTGAAAAAGTCTGTTTTCTTAATGTTATTAAACCATTTTCCCAGAAGAGGGACCAGTTGGTCAGCATCCTTGTTTTCGAAACAGAACGTGGCTTTAGTGAAACACAATATTCTGGTACAATACCTATGAGAATGTTGTGATAAGGCTTAGAATATGGCTGTGGATCTCCCCTCTTTCTCACATAAGGTTTCTCAGTCTTAGACATGTTGGTTTGAAGGAACCTCTGGTCCAACTTTCCACTCTGCAGAGGACTGCTGCCAGCATAGATCAGGTCAGCCATGGATTGTGTAGCCTGGAAAACCTGCCAGGATGGAGATAATACAACCTGTCTGGGCAGCCTGTTCTGGAGCTGCACTACCTCCCTAGTAATGAAGTTGTTCTTAATGTGCAACTTGAACCTCTTGCAGAGCTGCTCAGTCACTCTTTGTTAAGTGATGCTGTTAACTAATGCTGTTAGTGCCACCTCACCTGAGACCAGCGCTGGTGGGGTGGGCTCCAGGTGCCTCCTCATCCTCAGAGGTGTAAACCCAGCAGCTCTTGTTTTGTTGCACCTGCTTCAATCTCTGCCTGTAAAATAGGTGTTGGATGGTGAAGGTTGGGCCATTAGTTGGGCTTTGGGAATGGCCCCTAAGTGCAGACCGCAGGGAGAGGAAATCTCGTGGTAGCTTGGGAGGCGGGGAAGGAGCAGGGACATAAAGTCCTATTGCTGGGAAGAGCACAGCTATCTCCCCTAGCAGTGCCGGGCTGTTGCTGCCAGGGGCTTTGTTGTGACTTGTGCAGTTACTCAAAGCTGAGGCAACTGCAAGTGTTAGTGTGATGCGAGAGAGGAACCTGGGGCTTGTGGACATGCCTAGTGAAGCCCTGGCCCTTCCAGCCAGGACTGGCAGATCAGGAAGGCCTCCTCCCAGCACCTCCTGTCCAGGCAAGAGAGGAGCTTGGAGCCTGACGCTGTAGTGCTGTGCCTGCTGCTTTGCTTTCTGATGAGGGTGCAGGCTTGGGGAGGTTTGTCCTAACCGCTGGGCCAGGACAGAATGTCTGCCAGGGTGGTCCGGGCCACAAAGAATTTACTTCTTGGTGGGTTTTCTTCTGTGCTAAAATCTGGTTTAGCCATTGGTGTGAAAAAACTAAGTGTCTGGAAAAGTTGGAAGAATCAGTCTCCCCTGCTGCACCCACCCAACATCTATTCCTATACACTACATACAGCTCTTCATCTGCCCGTCTCTATTTTGGAACTGCCAGTATTCCTGGTTTCACTTATACACTCGTGGTCCCATCCAAAAGGCTGCAGGACTCTTTGTAGCAACCTAGAAACTGGGACGCTTTTGTGTGCAACCTCCTTAAACTGACTTAAAAGTTGACTTGCGCTGGTTTAACTTGCCACAGTCCTTTCACAGAGGGAAAGTTAAACTGAATGTGTACCCATGTAGAGTTTTGCTCATGCTTAATTATCCAGTTTGTGTATAGATAAGCCTGAGCTTTGATTTGGTCTTCTGTATGTGAGGAGTACACATACATACATGCGTATATGTATAAGAATATGTATTTGGACTTGGGTGTTTAGCTTGCTATGCAAGATACTGCGTTTTATGGGGCACCAACTGCTCTGTAATTGCTTCCACTGTGGACCTACTACGAGTACTAGCTGATGCTGCTTTCAAACTAGTGTGTTATTTGGTGTTTAAGAGTTTCCACAGAATAGATAATATGCTGTAAATTTACACCCTTGCTTACGGCTCGTTCTTTTCCCCAAGTAGACAAGCCCTTTCCCTCCCAAACTCCTCTTTCCCTCCCACACCTAAGTCTTTGATCTTTCTGCTGCGTGAGGCAGCCCATCCCATCTTGGGATCCTGGCACTGCCCTCTTGGATGCTGTTCCATTGCTTCTGACTCACTACAGCATCAGAATCCCACACAAAGGACCTTTAGGGTTGGAGGGAAATCAATATTTTCTGCCTGGCTGACGTACAGTACTGCTAGCACCTCAGTGAAGGATTGCCACAGAGTTGAGGGGTTGCTGGCTGCGTGCTACCCCTGTTCAAGTTGTGCTGTCAGAGCAAGTTCTAGCAACTTGATGGTAAGAGCTCATTTTCAGGTCCACTGCTGAGAATGCTGATGGGGCCATGCCGTTTTTAGGAAGGACAGAAATTGAATATTTGAATATTTTCCTGTTGAAAAAAGGACTTGATTGGAAAGTGTATCTCAGTCAATCCTACAGAAATTTAATGTTTTCCTTCACAGTGGGACAGTTTTAGATACAAACAGTGCTTATGACTTGTCAATCCTGTGCTGACTTGCAACTGTTTAGATTATCTGTATCCTCCCAGTATAGATTTGAGGCTTTGCTGCTGTCTGTTCACACATTTCGACATGTCTTGTGTCAGCTCACCTCCAGTTCCCCAGAATCCACTGGCACAAGAATTGCTTTACTTCTGTCAAGCCCTTGAAAGTACTGCCGAAGCTTGGATGTACGATTCCAAGCATTTTGCAAAAGCAACTGGAAGGCAGAACCATTTAATCTCTACCAAAAGCAGGAACAGCCCTAGCGAAAGTGTTTCATTTGCTGTGTTTTTCAAAACCAATTTTGATTTCACTGGTAAATACTGAAAAAGAAGTGGCATGGCTCTTCTGGTTTTGTTTTTTATGAGTTACTCTGAATCTCTGCAGAGGTTATGGCTTCGTGAAATTCACGGATGAACTGGAACAGAAAAGAGCGCTGACGGAGTGTCAAGGAGCTGTGGGGTTGGGCTCTAAACCTGTACGCTTGAGTGTGGCTATACCAAAAGCGTGAGTACAAGAGCAGCCAGATGTTTATACAAGAGCAGCGTGATGTGAAATCACGTGTATGTTTAAATGTCTTTAGTGGTTTGGGTACATTTCCTGGATGTTTCTATCACAAAGTGAAGGAATACCCACGAATATAGTAGCTAGAGTATGAGAATGCACAGGAATTCAAAAAATATATAACATTAGATCAAGACTAAGCATTTTACACTGTTTTTAATTGTATGAATTATTAAAAACACACATGTACACACACTGTATTTAAATATGATTATTTTTAAAGTATATGTTCCTTTGCATTAAATTGAAATAGTCTAAATCTGCTTATTGATTTCTGGCTAGCAAAGCTCAATTACCTTGCTAATTCTATTATAATGTCTACTAAATATAAGTCTTTTGGGGCAGGGATTAACTTTTTTTTCTGTGTTTGTTCAGAACCTGATACAATGAGATCCTGGTCTGACTTGGGGCTCGTAGCACTAGGGTAATACGAATAATAGTAATTGCTCCCTATTTGAATAATATTTAGATGTTCAGTGACCTCAGAAGTCTTGGGGGGATAAGGAAGAGAAAGCAGAAACAGAGGGTGTATCGTGGTGAGAAGATTGATGTTTCCCTCTTCCTACTTCTCACTAATTTCATCATTAGATATAGCTTTATGTGTGACATTTTCATTTTCAAACAATATTTGTCATCTCATTATTTCAAATCTTGATAATCAGGTGGGATTCCCAGTTCCTTGGGAATGCAAATTTTAGTCAGCTCACAGGCTATTTAAGTTTATTTTTTTAATTACTCGTAGTCTTTTTTACTTCATGAGCTCTTCCAACTCTGTGCATTGAAGATCACCCAGTTCAGTGGGAATGGGGACAACCAGTTGTTGCTTAGGCTTCTGTACGACAGTGGCAGAAGGGAGAGGTTTTTGTCCATTCTTACTAAAGAAAACCCCTATTCTTTTGCAAGGCTCTAAGTCTTTAACTCTTCATGTAAAGTAAGACTCAGCACCTTGTCTCGGGAAGCTGCAGAGTACTTAACTTCATCCTATTTATCAGAAGGAGAAAGGGACCCAAGAATCTGCATCATGGTTCAGGATTATTCTAAACTGAGTCTCATAGTCCTGAGCTTCCCTTCCCAAAGCCGGGAGGTGATACTAAATTGACTCATAAAGGGTGAAAGCAATGTTTATTAATGAAGATGAATACGAATACAGGACAGGGCGTTAAATTTAAACCACTTCTTTCTTTCTGCAAGTGTATGCAAATGACAAATACTGCTGCAGTAAATAGCGAATATATTTTAAAGATTGAAATTTGCATGTTAGACTAAGCCTTGTCTATGTACCATATTGTATCTTAAGCTATTTCACTGCTTTTTTTCATAATTGTTCTGCATTATTTGCAACTTATTCCTGCTTTATTTCTTTAAGTAATCGTGTGAAACCAATGGAGTACAATCAGATGTACAACTATAATTATAACCAATATTACCAACAATATCACAACTACTATGCCCAGTGGGGCTACGACCAGAACACAGGCAGTTACAGCTACAGCTATCCCCAGTATGGATACACGCAGAGCACAATGCAGGTAGGACGGCGCAACGTACTCGCTCTTCAGTGACCTGTCAGCACAGAAACACGAGGTAGCTTACAAAACGATGATGGACACATTTTACCTTCAAGCTCTGGGGTCTTACTGTAGCTACTTGATGAGGAAGCAAAACCGTTTAGCAGACCCTGGCAGCTACTGTTGCCTTGTGTGGGGGATATTGCTGGGACTGGAGGGCACAAAGGGTCTCTTAATACAGTTGTCATGGTAGAAGGGTTCTCTTGATAAGGGCAGTTGGACAGGCAGTGCTAAGACTGCCTTCTGGGATCCTTCATAAGGTTTGTTTTAGAGGATAGAACAGATCAGGACAGCCACCCAGCCTCACCACAGGGATTTCAAGAACTGCTGTCTCTGTTAGAAGTTTAGTGGGGGATCTCCCCTGTGGAGCCTGTTGGGAGTGGAACATGGGGCTTACATGTGAAGAATTCTCTTGTAATCAGTCAGATAGAAAAGTCAGTATATGACAGTAGTAATCAACAGGTGATGTTCATAAAAGATAAGATAAATATCTGCTGTACTAATGTGTTTTTTTTTCCTTGCAGACATATGAAGAAGTTGGTGAGGATGCATTGGAAGGTACGTTTCTTGACTTTGATATTGAAGTTGTCTGTTTGTTCTGCACTGATTAGAGATAGTCTTTCTCAAATTGGCCCTTAATTTCAATGTATAATATACAATACAATATCTTTGAGTAAATCTGAGGTCTGAGAAAATTTATGGTTCACTCTTACCTAGTGCAATTGCATCCTTATTTTACAGTTGCTATTCCTAGTCTGAACTTTGTCAGGACTGAAACTAATTGACTTCACTAGCATTGAGATTTTAATCTTCTATAGTACTCAAACTTTTATCCTTTATTTAAGTATTTTTTCTTGTATGCTACAAAAACAATGTAGCTCTTCTGTTTTTCTGTAAAATCTTGGAATTTAGAGCCCAGGATACTTCACTGTACTTAAAAAAGAAATAATATCAGTTAGCATGCTGGTAAAATATTTGCTTTAGCAGTCATTACTTGAAATGGGCCACTAAACCATATTGGGGTTTTAGATATACATACAAGCAGCTTGCTTTTATTGATGCAAGAAAAGATCATTTCATACTAGCAGTTCCAAATTTCTGTCTTGAGTGGAATAGGCACTATGTAGTGAATCTTATTCTTCTCTTTGGGAAAAAAAAAAATTAAATCCTGTGGTAACAGCAGAATGCGGCAGGATCTTTTACAGGATCCATAGGTATCAGTAACGATGTCAATGAGAAAGCCCTTAATGGCTTTTAAAAGCATTACAGGAGAGCTTTCTTTTCTCTGAAACTAACACAGCAGTACTATAGTTAGAATCTCTCTGGGGTGTCTTTTCCTCATTGATTAAATTAATATGTTGAAATTTGTAGGAAACTGAAATAATCTATTGCCAGTGTATCATTTGTCTTAATTTTCTTCTCCTGTGATGTGTTACAACATGATGTAGCTAAAACCAAATGAGTTTACAAGCATTTTATTCCTGACGTGTTTTGTAGTTTTTTTCCATTCGGTTGGCTAGTTGCTTTGCATTCCAATAGTTGCTTGCTAACCTATGTGATTGTGCTCATCTGATAACCTCAGCTTTAGATTGTGGGTGTTGCTAGGTGAGCTTTACGTCCTACAAGTGGTTTGGGGAAAACGATGAGTCGATCATTGCGAAATGTTAAGTGTGCATTGGTAGCAGCAGAATTGTACCCACTGGGTTGCTATTCAGCTCCAAAATGCTTTACAAACATCTCTTCCAGCTGTAAAATGGGGGACATATTCATACATAATTCACTGGGTGTCACTGGCACTTCTTTGGTTACTAACTGTGAAATGCTTTGAGGTGTTCGAGGCTTTGGCAGACGAGCTCTGGTGACTCTTGTTGCAGCAGCGTAAGACGCTACCATCCCCAGCCATCCACTCTGACCCCGTAGTGGAGGGAGCAGAACGGAACGTGTGCCTGCGCCTCCGCTCCTCCACTTTGCAGTCCGGTGCCTTAGTGCCAACCCACCTTCTTTGGCAGTTTAAGTGGCCACACTGGGCTGCGAGGTGCAGGTATGCGTTCTCTCTGTTGACTCTGCTAGGGGGGCAATCACCACTGGAAAGAGGGACATAGTTGGACGTAGTTATTTCTTATCCTGTTGCGGAAAGATTTACTAGGGTTAATCTAGTTAGGCTCGTGATTGGGCAAGTGCTGGGAATGTTTTGTGACTACATTTGCTTTAATAAAACTAAGATGTTTACGGGGTGGGGGCTTTTCCTAACACATTTGACGTGTGACCTATTTGTCTGTCTTGTCTTTCCTTCTTTAGATCCAACGCCTCAATTGGACGTCCATGAAGCAAATAAACAGTTTATGGAACAGAGCGAAGAGCTCTACGATGCCTTGATGGACTGTCATTGGCAGCCTTTGGACACTGTCTCGTCAGAGATTCCAGCCGTGTTATAGCCTCGTTGCTGAGGCACTGTGTCTGTGTGACAAGCCTGCCAGTGCGCTCCAGACTGTTACGCTGCACCTGGATCCTGCAGTAGTGAGGGGTGGCCCTTTCTCCACCCAGGTCTGTTACTCGAAGTGCAGGAGGACTGTGGCCTTTCCTGTACAGAATGAGTATCGTAGGAGCATCATGGTAACTTTTACTCATGGTGAAAGTTAGAACTGCAACAGTTTTATTCCTTTTGTCTTGAAATGAACTCTTAATACTTATTGGGAATTGTAATTTATAAACTTTCAACGAGATGGCACAGGGGAAAGACTCTACTCCAACGTACAATAAAAAAGTTGGTCTTTTAAGTAAAATTACCCTTTGCATTTTGGTTCCTGCCCATCTTTCTGTTTTGCTGCCCATTTAGCTGTCTCCAGTCATTCGATCCAACTCTCATGAATGTGTTATTTTAAAAAATCATTGTTGGATATCACTAAAATGTCTCAAAAGCTTTCTAGTGACTGGGTAAGGTTGCTGTAACTTGAGGACGGGAAAGAACCGTGTAGATGAAAGCTTATGTTGTGTTCAACCAAAGCTGAGCTAGCAAGTTTATAGCTCAGTGTTCTTAAGCAATCTACCTGAAGAGCATTTTGGAGAGTAAAGACAGAAAGGAGCATTCTAAAACTGCTACAGACCGATCCACCTGGTGATCTCTCGCACGTTTGGCTTGCTTCTCCACCTGTGTATGAGGAGATAATTCCCCATCAGTCAAGCAGTTTAAAACACTTTTACCAGCAACTTTGTTTAAATATTATTTTGTGTATCATGCCTTTTTTCATTGTGGACACACCTTGATGGTCTCATTAAGCTGTTAAGATTTCATAGCGTCTTCCACTATCCTGTCAGAGTGAATATGGTGAAACTGAAGATCTTGCAGCAAAAACGGGTCAGAGCAATCTAATCGATATATTGTGCAACAAATTGTTGCTAACCTGGAAAGCAGTTTTCTGCTGGATGTTGTATAAGCTGGATGGACAAGCAATATATTTAAGCTAATATTATGTTGCATTAGAGGTGAAAGTGAAAACAATAGCACTTATGTACATGTTATAAGCCCTTTTTAGGCTTTTGTGCCTTAAACTCTTTGAGAAATAGGAACAGATAAACTACCTGCAATAAATGTCTATCCAAGAAATAGTTTGGTAACTGAAATTGCTACTGCAAAGCATTTAGTTGCCTCCTTGCCCATGTTGATGCAGAGATTTGCCACAAAGTTTAAATACTTTCATAAAGCCTACTTCTGCTACTCCTTTGTTTGTGTCTATAATTACGATATATTTGTCAGTCTGTGGTCTTTTTATCAACTGCAGTGGTAAACGCACTGTGAATATGAGGGGAATAACTGCCATATACTGGAGTTAACATATTTCTGAACAAGTGGAACTAGAGGACTGCTGGACTCCTGTGTTCTCATCTGCTATGAATTTTTTCCTCCTGCTGTGCATCTGACTGTGCTGTGGGCTGTTAACAGCGTCCTAACCTTCAGTTACTCTGAATTTAAGGAAATGAATGTTCCCTGCGTCTGCTGGTAGTGTTTCAGAGGCAGCAGAGAAGTGGAAGAGAGAGTGCTTTTTTTCTTCTGACGTAGCTGGTCAGCTCAGATGATGTCCCTCTTCTTGAAAAGTGCCTATTGAATAGAGTGGCATTTCAGAGGTGATGTAAAGAAGGGGGTTTTTATGTTCTGCTGTTAAACACTTTCTAGATTGTTCTGTTACTGTGCTGCAACAGTGCTACCCTGTATGCCCCTCATTCTCCTCTTTTGGACCTGTCTTGCCCTATCCCACCAAATTTTAGCTTTTATAATGCAGCCCTCCTAATTTGCCATGGGAGGTGACCTGAAGCCACATTTACTTTATCAGTATAAATTTATGCTGCTATTCTAAAGCTGGCCAGCATTGCTCTCCTGTGTAATATTTCCTAATGCACGGATAAGCCATATCCATCTAAGTCTGTCCCTAAAGGACGCGTTATTACAGACAGTAACCCTGTGGCAAAACCATTTTGCTCCCTGCTTTTATTTTTGTGGTGGAAAGAAAGTTGGTAATGATTCCGCCAATCCATCCTAATCCCCTAGTTTCTAGGAGAGCTATGTGTTATACAGACCCTTGGGCCCTTACGTGGAGAACAATTTGGGAGTACAGAGGCCAGCAAAGATTACCCACTGAAGCCTGTGCACTGGTGCTACAGAGCTTAAAGATAGCTCATAGCTCTCCTTTTAGGAGAGAGGTTGACGTGAGGTTTGGGCGGCGTTCCCTTGATGTGTGAGCCAGCCTTTTGGGGTTGTTTGTGAGAATCTCAGCCAATGTTCTGTTGAGCTCTTAATCCCTCTGCACTTTTTTCTGTGTATCACTTACTCATCTTAATGTTCATTTTCAGCTCCCGGCCATTATTGCAGCATCTGAAGCACAGAGACTTTTATGTGGAGCTACAAAACAGCCGGTCACCTGGATTTTGTAGGGTTTATGTTTTGGAATCCAAGTTAAACAGAGTGTGGGATTTTGTTTCTCGTGGATGGCTACAGGAAAAGCCCTGATTAATTACCATTTAGTGTAACACCAGATGAAAGACAAGGACTCCGTGTAGTAAGGTAAATTCTGCTTTTATCTTTATGTGCTAAAGGCAAGAAATCCAAGGCAGATGATATCACAGCTCACTGGGATTATGTAATTCTTGAAAATTGCATCAAAATCTGCGACTGAGATTATGAAGTGTTCTGCCTTTCAGCATGCAACGTTTACTAGCAATTACAAAAACGACTCAAGCATTCTTACTGTGTTACTTGATGAGGATGTGATGGTTCAACTTACATTACTCTAAATTGCAGGGACTCCGATTACTGTTTGAGTTATAGAGACTGAAAAATGTTTAGCCAACTGCAGAGCTGGAAAGATGTGGGCGTTACTCCTGTTGGGCATGAGGTGGTGATTTCCAAAGCGTAAGCTGCAAGACTGCAGGGTGGCCTGTTGCCATTAACGTGTGTTTAATTAAAAGCTTGACAGTAAGCATCGGGGGTGGCCTGTGAGAAATTCTGACCGGCTTCCAATGGGTTGAGGAGTTTGAAAACCATTTCTTGAGCAAACGTGGGTCTGTACCAGCGCAGCCACGTGTATGGGGTCTGACAGGGGCCGGTGACAATGTTTTCCATGTGTGTCTGACTAGAGAAAATTCCTGTTACTTGGACTGGTTTCAGGAGACCGGTTCATATCCCCCACACCAAGAAGCACCGAACACCCTTAGGTATTTCTCCGAGTCCCTTTTGAGGAACAGAGATGTTTGAATTTGATCTTTGTGTACTCAGTTTCTCATCACTGGCTTGCTAATCCCCAGCTTCTGCTAAACAAGAGCTGAGAGGAATTTTTACCTTCCAGCCTTGCAATCTCCCAGTGCATCTTGTAAAGCATACTGGATACACCAGTTTCTGGATTTAACTTGGGATTTGCTTAGACATGAAATTAATTCAGTGGCAGGATAGGGTATGAATTTTAAATGCAATAGCTACATTTAGAAACAGATAGAGCTAGTTCAGAAAATGTCACTCTGATAAAGCTTGCTTTACCTTTTTACCTGGTTAGAGCATTTCTTCAGGAAATACATCCTTTTTTTTCAGGTTACTATGCTTTCTTCTTTAGCACTTATTCCCAGTCACAATGGTTTTACCAAGCGCAGTCAGTTTTGTAAGGAGGGTTTTGTGGGTACTGCTTGGTATAAACTCCGCTTTTCTCCGACAGTATTATGCTGCTTCTGCTATAAAATTTCCAGGGTCAAAGCAATGGTAGATAACACAGTTAAGGCGATATAGACCGAGGGCTGTACATGGTAGCACTTGTCTTTGTCCCCTCAGCACACAGGATCCCCAAGGAGCCGCAGGCACTGCAATCCACCTGTATCACTAATTCATACTTGCTTTTCCTTACTGTTAGTTTTTCAGAGAGCACTTCCCTGCGGGTTGCCTGCTCCCACCTGTCTGGTGGTGGGAATTGCAGCCTCTTCCAGCGTTTGCTCCCACTCCTGCGCTACAGAAGAGACTGACGTTGAGGCTCCCAGCCCATACCGGGAGGCTTCATCAGGGCTTTGCTGACCTTGTGGTCGAGCACCGCGGACATGGCAGTGGGATTTTCTCTGCTTCTTTTTGTATCTCCATCCATCTTCTCCTGATGGGCTGAGGTCTACTGAGCATCCGTTGATTTTCGGTATTGCTCTTTGGGAATTCTCCCCATTTAGCATTTGGAAGATTTTCTTCCCAAACACTTTACATTTACCAAGGTTTGAATTTTTGGGGTGGGTTTTTTTTGTTTGCTACAGTGAGCTCCCAGTTTCTGTTCTGCCCTAGGAATTGGCAGGGCGATTTCCAAGTTCACTGTGCACAAGTCGCTGTGCCAAGGAGCATTTGGGCTGCCCAGGGAATGCCTTGTGACTTGGCAGAGCAGCTGCCAGATCCATGGAGAAGGTGGAGGACGAGGACGGGACCAGCTGCTTGTAACCTGTCCCCACCAGCTTTGACAAGGGCTGTTTTTAGAAGAGCTTGGTCACACAAGGTTTGGGGCTCACTTCCAGACTTATTTCTGCTTTAAATGAGTGCCGGACTTATTGTGTTGGTAATCTGGCATGTTTGTGGTGGGTTACCAGCTTGAAAGGGCGATTCCTGAGCACTGTGAATTTTGCTCAGAAGAGGATAAAAACTAACCGTTGTTCTCCCTCACCCCTTTTGTGCTTTCTCCAGGGCTTGGGAGCAGGAAGCAGCAGTCTTGGGCTTTTCAACCCAATTTGTCACCATGGCTGTGGCTTCAGCATCAGTACCTGCAGAAATTTCAGCAGTCCCTTCCAACCAGTTGGCAGATGCTCTCGTTTTAAAACCTTTCCACTGATTATGGATGATGAGCCAGGAACCTGACAGAGGTATTTTTTTGGCAGATATACTTTTGTTTCCAAGAAACTTCCATTCCCTGAGGGTAGGGTGTTCCCTCCC